ACACCTCGCTCTATCTGTGGATGTTGCAGCTTAGCAGTCAAATAGTTTTGTAAGGGTGAAATATGCTCTAGTTAAACATATCCAAATTTTGCGCGATTTGCGGTAAGGTGAAATATGCTCTAGTTAAACATATCCAAATTTTGCGCGATTTGGTTCTATTTAGAAAAAAGTTATGAACGAAAAAGCGTAGAAGCATTTCACCGAAGACTTTTGAGCGCTACTGCATATTATTCTTCTGTTTCACCGAAGACTTTTGAGCGCTACTGTAGGCGCGCTTCCTCCTCTAGCTTAAATCACGATGTCAATTCCACGAATCATGTTCGATATATCATCTTCTAGAAAGTGCGCCAACAACAGCGTATGGGGGAAGAACACCTCTCCCATTACTACGGTACCATCGCTGGTTCGCTCGCTTCAAAGAAGAGAGACACGGGCTCCGAAGACAAGCCTCGGTCGGGACGCCTCCGCTGACGATAAGACCGTCAATCTCGACTTCATTAAGGAGTATTCGAAAGTTAACACTCGCAGTCTTGCGACGGGACTTGGGTGTGCCCAATCAACGGTCGTCGGTCGCCTTCAGGCTCTCGTTTAGGAAAGTGCTGACTCGATGGATACCTCATGTCTTGACCAGTGGCATGCGGTACACCCGGGTATGGCTGCTTTCATAGTCCGCGACGTTGGGTGCGACGCGACCGCGTCCTAAGGTCCCGTCTGCCTCTNCCCCCCCCCCCCCCCCCCCCCCTCCTCCCAGCACTACCTCGGCCGGCACGCCGGCTCTCCGGCGGACTATGAAAGCAGCTTATCCATTTGTCTGTCTCTCCATCTCCACCCATATCGCAAGGAGTTTCTGGAGGCAAGCTGGATCCTCGACGCTAACAAAAGGAACGCCGTACTACGAACTACTCAGCAAAACCACGCTTTCACCGGTCCCTATTACGCTGGTCAGTTGCAGACACTTGCGGAAGCTGTTCGAGAAACACGGCCCGTACCGACTTTTGTGCACCTCCTCCATGACAATGCTAGCCCCTCACATAGAAAATAGGCCCTTGCAAAATCGGAGGAGCTAGCGTGAGACAAGGTTCCACATCCACCCATTCATCTGATATTGCCCCCTCAGACTACCTCTAGCTTCGGCCTCTCGAGGCTTTCCTAGCAAAAAAAAAACAATTCGTCATTTATGACCACCTTGAACAACAACAGCGGCCGGTAACTCTTTTGACTCCCAATCTCCCTAATTCTGAGAGAAGGAAATCGCTGACCTGCTCATTAGGTGGGTCAATGTTATAACTAATGGTTATCATGTCGTTAATTAGCTTGCATTGTTTGCTGAAATGTAAAAAAAAAAACAGGAAAAAATGTCAACCGCATCAAAACTTTTTGATTGACCTAATATTTAAGCTTACGTATTGCAAGGGGCACTTACCCTTTGCTGTTCCTCCCTCCTATGAAGTCGTATCCAATATAGTATTGTTCTCGATCAAGTGCAATGTTTGTTTTCTCAAAAATCAAGACTTAGTCATTTGAATAGTAAACGAAATAAGTATGTTCCTTAATATCCACGAAAGAGTACACAACATACCTTGCTTTGGGTGAAACACTGTCCTAGACGGGCCATAAGCTTCGGAATGCTCTCCATTTCCTCGAACCTGAACAATTGATTACTCTTCTGCAGACAAAGAGATAATGAAGTTCCGGAAACTTCACGAAAATCTCATTTCAATCGTATGCGAAGCAACTGTGCAGGCTCTGTGCAGGCTCATTTGAAATATCATGACCGCATCTCTTCCACGAAGATTCCCTCTTCCTGAAGACCCCTAGCAAGCCGATGTAGAGGCAGCGAATTGGGAGTAAATGACCCTACGCCCGTCACGAAATCTTTGCACCAGCGGGATAGGGATTTTTTGGTGGAAAGGAAAGAATCAAAGGCCAAATCCATGCATGTGTGTGGAGAAATAGTGGTTGTAGTCGATATAGTGCTTACAGTCTCAGCCGAGAGCTTCCAGATTCGAGTTAGTGGGAGGTATTTGAGAGACACAGCAAAGTCGCCTAATAAATAAGTTTATTGTCCTCTAAGGGATAGAATAATACTAATGGGAGTATATTTTCACCAGCACTTCAATATGCACAAAGCATATATGGGGACCCGCTGACGCAAGCCACGAAGACCGATGACTGGACAACCGAAACGAGAGCAAATCTTTAGCAACACTACGATTGCGATTGTGACCCGGTTCCAGCTCCTTAATCCTCGTCCCTTACGCGTCATTGTTAATCCACGACAAGAATAAGCTGGTAGCATTCTCCATGAACCCGTATCGGAGAAACTCCAAACCGAAGGCCATATCCTTTTCAAGGTTATCGTAATTGTTTCAAACTTAAGAAGAATGGTTGAAAAACTTTGCATCGGGCGCATGGAACTTAAATTGACTACGTCAACCAATACCATAAATGGTTGTTCCCAAATTCAGAGGTGCTCTAATTTTTTCTGAACATGAGCACCTCAAACAAGAGCACCTGGTGGCCAGTTCCTTAGAGAAGTAGTTCTTACCTTCTCCAATAGGAAGATCGGCAAATTGATGTCGTTGAGGTTTTCATACCGTTGTTCATACTGTTGGGATCGAACCATTAATTTTTCGGCGATAGATTCCATGTTCCAATGCTCGGAGAGCCACCAAATTCGAGAAACAATGCCGTTATTGACAAGGGAAGGATACCAGGTCGCAGTGGCCATTCAAGATGAGATGTATACCGACGTAGGTAGTTTCGAACGCTGATCTCACATCTGAGTTCCAAATCTGCGAAACGATTCCGGGAACAAAGTTACGGGCCCCCCTTCCCCAGGTGTCATGTCCCTTTGTTGCTTTTATACGAGAACCAACCCGTGCTTGAACATGAAGAAATGGCGCAGTTGGGAGGGCGACGGACTGGTGGGCGTGACACGGGGTTCGAATCCTTNCATGCGATTGTTTTGCTTTTTCATAAAAAGTGTCCTGAACTCTTGCAAAACCCTTTTGCAAATCATATGCACTATCTACAGCCCTCCCTCATATTTATGGAACACAAGAAATAGTAATACAAGTATATTTTTTCGTCGGCTATACAGGCCGAATAATGAGGGGTGTACATAGAACCTTCTGCCTTGACCAATCTTCTTCAGCTGCTGCTAATCCCTGTTCCCTAACATACTGTTCCAGAGTGACTACAAGGCGCGTAACCAGCGAAGCAAATCAGTGCCCGCTTTCTAATCATCTGCGCCCTCCTGCGCACTGTATTCATTGCTGTTTAGTGAGCTAGGTGATATCTTACACAGGCCTGGCAACCTTAGGCATGTCCGAGGTTGGTTTAGTCTCAGGCAACCGAATAATTTAGGAGATGAAGCAAATAAAGTTCAAACCTTCCCAGTTGTAAACGAGCCTTATCGATCTTCGGTTGCCATTCAGGTGGAGGAGACCTATTGTGTTCCTTTTCGTAGTCTTTGCGTTCTGTACGGGAGGACTTCTCCATGAAATAAGCTCCAGAATCCCTCATTTGCGAATTTGAACTGCCCAAATAGCCGAACCAGCGATCTAAACATTTATCCTTCACAAACATATTTAGAATACGCATCGGAGTAAAAAATCAAAAAAGGCTTACCTGCAACATAAACACCATGCCTCAAATAATTTCCCAACGTTTCCTTTATGAGATATTCCGAGGTTTTCGATGTGCGCATTGGTTGGTTATCATCGTCTCTGAATCATTTTGAACTGTATAACTTATCAACAAGAGAGTAATAGTTCCGATTCCATTTTCTCAGTAAACATCAATGCTTATGTCGCACATTCCTTCTTTCGCGATTTTGTTAGATGATGCGCAAACAGCGCAGTGAGGATTGCAGGCACCGCGAATTGGGAAACATCACATCAATCCAATGCCATTTGAGTGACCACGATTTCTACCATCTCATAATTAGCAACTCAACCATTCCACTCCAGACGGCGCGAGATTTCCGAAAGGAGGTATGGGTAAAGAGTTTGAAGTAATAAAGAACTTGTGAAAGAGAAGAAAAAACTTATGTCATGTTACGAAAAGAAAAAACTAAGAATTTGTTTGACTTATCATTTTAACGAATCACGTTTTTCTTTAATTACTAGGATCATCAGTAAGTAAGGGCCAACGAGTAGGCAGAAGAACATTGTACAAGTTGAGTTTATGAAGTAAAAAATAAGATAATAACTGAAATAATTGCGAGGCAAGTTACAATTAGAGCGAAGTATAGGAAAAATAGAGCCAATTGTCGCAATACAAACAGTGATCTCCTAGTCGCAAATTGTCTGAATGGTAGTAGACCCCTTCCAACAAGTATCGTGATGCCTTCACCAACAAACTGATTGACGCTCAAATGAGAAATTGAGTCTTTAACACCTACGTCTTTCCAGTGCTACGGCATGGAAGTGAAATGAGAGCACATCAAAGATGGAGAAGCAAAAGTGGATGGTGTATAAAGGGCACCGGAACGATCATAGTGTGGAGTATCGATGAAGCGCAAGATTCTGGCCAGTGAAATCCGGAAGCGAACCGGTGTCAGAGATGTCACTTCACCAATATATGATTTTATGAGGCGTTGAGTTGGACATATTGCTCCTCTTAGTGGCAACAAATGGACATCCCGAGTGAAGGTTGGTAAGGTATCCAGAAAGCGCGAAGATCCTCCACAAGTCAAACGGGAGGTGATGGCGACAAAATGCCATGATTCTGCAAGAATGCCTTGCAAGGAAGGCACAACTGCCAAAATTGAATAACGGACCTCGAGGAATTCAAGATATGTATTCATGAATATTCTTGTTATATATTTATATATATGTATGTATGTATGTGTGTATGTATGTATGTATGTATGTATGTATGTATGTATGTATGTATGTATGTATGTATGTATTTCTCGTTCCTTTCTCGTAAAGTCATCTGGCTAGCCCGCCCACTCCGGGGATTCGGCCACCCTCCCTGTGATACCTTCGGCCCTTTCTTTCCCGATTTCTAGGACGTTTTTGAATAGACTCATAAATATTTGATTTTGGCCTCACCAATCCCCCCACCCCTAGTGCAAACCCCCTTTAGGGTTTTGGCCGCACTCCTTCCACAGCCTCTAACCACTCACTTTCCACATTATAGTACGTTTTTGAATAGATTCATGAGCATTCTCAAAAAGATCTAACACCTGAACGCATGCCCCCCCCCCTATCGTGGGCGGAGCTTTGCTATGCACGCATGCCAAGCACCGTAAGGCCCTGCTCACTCCTTTTATCACTTTTTCTAGCCTCCACGCCCTCTTTGAATGGAGTTATGAACCTGTGGGGAAAGTACCGCCCAGTGCAAGAACGCTCCTCCCACTATCGGTGGCTCCCCTTCACTTGATTTGTTGACCTGTTCCTCTACTTTGATTATTTTTTACTCGGTGTCTGGGCTGTTAGAAACTAATTTGAGAAGTTGTGCCCAAGATATTACCCAATCCTGTGCACGTCCCCCCATTGAAGGAGGGCTGAGCTCAAATGTGTTCTTTTGATCTGGCCCTATGCCCGACCCTCCCAAACTCCCAAACATGACCCGACTTATGCAGGTGCTTCCTAAGGTAATATCGAATTTCTGCACATTGAACGAACAAACAAACAATCAGCTGTCGTATAGATTTCGCCTAAGTTCCAAATTTGGAAAACCTTTATCTAGCTACAGAAGTATTGTAAAGTGGATAGTTCTTTGGAGTGCGCATCTCTGAGCAAAATCCTACTTATAATTAGAGATTCCGATTAGATCAGATTTCTATGGGTTTCCGATTATGTTTCTACAGAAAAATACGCGGTCTTTCTGTAAAAATTATTCGTGAGCAGAAAGGTTACTCGCCCACGAAGCCTAACCTCTCCTCCCTCAGTTGGCTGCGAACCGGTAGTTGAATGGTCCATAGTATAGGGATTTAGCAGGACAGTAAATAGTCAAGAGAGCGTTTTTTACGAACGCTCCCAGCAATGTTTGTAATCAATGAAGGATCACGGCTCCTCTTCGCTTCAATATCACTTTTGGCGAGACTTATCCGACCGCTATGTATCCGCTTCATTGATAACGCATTTGATCATTCGATCTCCACGCCCATGATCGTGCCTACGTGACTTGGGAGGACACACAAACGGGCATACAAACAGACACGCAAAGTTAGCGATTTATATATATACAACTTAAGAACTGATAATCCTTTCAACCACTCTACCCGAATGGGCGTTTTGAGAGCATCTACAGTCAACATAATCAGTTCTGTAACAACCACACTTTTCGAATGGCATTTACCTGGGAGTGTTCTGGAAAACGGATGTTTGATGTACGTACCGTTCCGAAATTTTCGCTCAAACTCAACAGCCAAATTAACCGATGCAGCCACTTCAAATTTTCAATTCTGCGGAGAGAGTCAGTTCCTCACCTCACCACACCACATAGATTAGCTGGGGCCAAGGATGCCTCCAATTCTGTAAGAATCTGATTTAATCTGACGAGTTGTGCGTCGATGGTCGTTAGGGATAGTGACGTCAAGCATACCTATAGAGAATTTCGGATCAACTGAAGAACTGATAGCCCTTTCAGCCACTCTTCCCAAATGCTCTTTCTAGGAGCATCTTCAATCAACGCAATCAGTTCTGTAAGAACCATCCGATCCGAAGGGGAATGACTTTTTTCTCCGTTCTTTTTCACCTTACGGCTGAGGGGATTTCACTGTGGGTCGTTAGACAGGATTAGAAGAGTAGAGAAAGACGAAAGAATGGATTAAACAGATTTCAAATTCTTCATAGGAAAACATAGCACCATGCCAGTATCGATCGAAGTCACAATGTCGAAGCATCCGCCCCTTAACCTGCCCACCAACTTACTGCTTCCTATACATAAGGAAGAAAATATGGGATGAGCTCGAAGTCACAGTGTCGAAGCATTCGCTCTCCAAGCATTCCATTCACCTACCCACCAATTCACCGTTTCATATACATAAAGAAGGAAGTGTAAAATAGAGCTAGGTTCTCCATATCACTACCTTGATCGTAATCATAAATTTCTCTGAGAGACAGACATACAAACCGACAAACCGACAAACCGACAAACCGACACACCAAGTTATGCTTTATAAATAAGAAGGAAATCTACAACAACCTTCAGATGTCAGGTACTTATTACGCCTTTTTTAATTAGAAATATTAGGTGTCCCAAAATTATGGGCACCAAATTTCAGAATTGTCTAAGGTAGAAATAATCTATCAAATTAAGTTAATATTGCTTATATTTAGTTGCACGAGGTTTCCTTGCAATATGCATGGTTACTGATGTAAACCCAATATCATCTAGATGGAGGAGGATCATTCAAAGCCACTTGCAATTATTGACATGCGCGAAGCGGAGGGACGCTATGAAATTCCTTATGATTTTTCGATACAGAGAAGATTCACTCAAAGACATTAGGAAAGGATAGGAAGGCCAGCGTTCCCAAAGACAGGGCTCTTGAAGTGGCCCATTTGCGAGCAGATCGTGATGTTGGGTGGCCCTCAAAAACACAGCGAAGTTGTCGATGGGAAGAATTGTCAAGCATAAGCCCAATAGCCATTCCTATCGCATGCAGAAATGACGTCTGAATTTTGGTCTCAACAGACACTGCGGGGCCAAAAAATGCAGTGAGTGGCAGAATCACTTGAGTGAAGACACGGAGCCCTTCATCGTTTTCTCTGGCCAAAAACTTTTACGATGAAACCACCCCTCAACAACTAAAACGTTCGTGTTCCGGACAGAAAGTCTAACGTGCACTCTCTCACAAAAAGGTTGCTTTAGGAACAGTTAAATGTTTTTTGAGGAAGTCACTGGCAAGGGGGAGACGCTCGTGGTTTCTTCGGTGCTGGCGTGAAAATTGACAAAAACCTGTGCTCAAAGATCAGACTGATGGACATAATGGAGCACTGATCCCATTTCGCTTCCTGGATCAGCTCGTAGTCCTTCCAGCAAAAGGCTACTCCAGCCACCAGAGCCAAGCTCGCCCGCGTGTGGTGCCGACGACAGCTGTCCGACTTTCTTGGTAAAGAGAGATGGCCATCCTAGTTTCCAGATTCTGCCTCAATTAAAGGCACCGTTAGCAATAAAATTAGGGTACCCTTTTTTGACGGGAATTGATAGAACTACTCTAGAATAAAGCGATGACAACGAAAAAAGCGCAAAAAACGATGAACAAAAAGAATTACAAAGGGTCAAAAAAAGAGCTGGAAAGGGGGGTTGGACGAGTTTCACATTGAAATAACAGCNGTTAGGGAGTGTTCGGACGAGTGCACGAAGGCGACGCAATGTGTTGTCTGCAATAGCAGACAACACATTGCGTCTCTGGCAATTTGCCAAACAGCTTATCGACTTTTCACCAACTTCGATGCAATGCGAATGTAGTGAAGGACAATTTGAACTCGTAGTCAGCCTAGCGAGGGGCGGAGGGCGACCGTGGATAACTCTCCGGCCCCTTATTGTGCCCTATCCAGCCGTTTTCCGACCTCATTCCTGCACAAATGGTATCAGAGGGGGCGTCGAATTCAAACCATGTGCAAATCTCCGGAATCATTTTTTCGTTAACAGTGCCTTTAACTCTCCCGTACGGACCCTGATTTGAAGAGGACCTGTCAAGTCTGCAGCCCCAGATCGGAGTCCTAGAAAGCAAGACTGAAGAACGGCTGGAAAGAAGTGGAGAATGGTGCCTGCGGGCAACATGCGATCAGTTTGAGAGCGACTTTGGGCGTCTATTCGCGATCATAGGAGATATTTTGGAATGTGATTGCAGCATATTGTAGCACATAGTACTAGCTAACGTGCATAGAAATTCCACTGCCTTCCTCAGCCTTGAAGCCTCGAAGTATTGCTATGATTTGGCGCCCATATTTTTGTGACACCCTGTACACATAATTCGCTAAGTGTTTCCATTGGTAT